GCCCACTTGCCAGAATGGCCTTATTTGCAAAGTTAACCAGAGAAGCTGTGGGCACACTGTAGCTGGCATTATCTTGCTTTGGGGAAAGAGTCTGCTTACGTACCTAAGACAAGAAGCATATTTTCGTTGTGCTCACAAAGCTTCTTCCTTAAGACTTAGCAATCAATTTGAGAAGAGTAATTGATTCTTTTATTCTTTATTCCTTATTAATTGCAAAGAATATTTCACACTATTTTGAGGAACAAAAGATATGACTGTCCTATTACTGCCCTGCTCTAGTATCAATAATGTAATAGCAGCACAATCATAATGTGTGAATACAGTTACAGTGGGCACAGGGGAATTTTTCTGTGACATTTTTGTAATTGTAGCAACTTTCTTGAATCCATAAGACTCAACAGAATCTTGATCATAATTAGACTTAAGTGGAACATCCTTCTAGTACAGCTAATTTCTTTTATAAGGGAACTAAAAACCTATTCAGAATTCACTTTCTTACAAGCATGGGTTACCTGCCTTAATTTTGGCTTCTCCTAATATAAAAAAAATACTCAGTCTGCTGGTCCCTCTTCTTGCTCATTGTAATTAAGATTCTCGTCCCTTACTCTTTATTTCACACCTTCATTCTTGCAAGTAGATTTGTTCTGGTAGGCTATTTTGGTTTAGATTTAAGGATCTGTATTTTTTTTTAAATCTTCTTATAAATGGCAACCACCAGGATATACCCTTAAGGTATACAAGTCTAATGTTGTTATACTTGGGAGTCAGGTCATTTCTTCCACAGTCTCCACTTACATGTTAAGCTTAGATTTCAACCTCTATTTCTAAGTTATATTCTATCTAGCAAAGTATAATTTTTATATTTTCAAATCTTTCATAATTTATTGTTTTCTATAAATTGCTGGTTTATAATATACCTGTACTCTGTGTTTTCTCTTCTAACATAGTAGAAAAATAAGCTAGGTAGGAAATGAAAACTCCCAATAGCTTTTTGGGGACCACATGTGTTGTCTATCATCTCAATCATCCAGATCATGGTTGTCCCAAAGATGCATTTCAAAGGACAACTGCACTTTCTTGGTTTTTCCCCCCCTTAAAAACATTTCCCTTCTCACCCAAAAAGCTTCTTCAGTTCAGTTCGCTTATCCAAGAAGCTTCTTGGATGATAAGCGAAACGTTTTCAAGAAAACACCCCCAAGAAAGTCCAGTTGCATTTTGAAAAGCCACATTGCGACAACCACATGTACTGTTTCATGTATCACCTTTCCTGTGTATGTTCAAAGATGAATCACCTTTCCTGTGTATGTTCAAGGTAAGCTTATCCTTTATTTTAGAACTGATCATGAGTGCTGACTCATCATTATTTTTTGTTCCAGGGATGAAGGCTGTAGGTCAGATATGCTCTTATCATAACCTACACAATTGAATGTGCACAGTTGAAGATTGCTCCTTTGAGACTCAAGTTTCATTTCTCCTGGTTCTGGCTGGAAACAGCATTTCAATATGTGAGGTGTCTTATCTTTAACTGCTTATAAAAAATTACATAATTCTGCAGTGAAGATAAGCTCTTAGCTTTTAAGCTATTCTACATTGCAAAAAAATACAGTGGCCTGCATTGTTGTAGTTTTGTATTCTGAAGTATATTAGCAAATGTAAAAGTAGTACTTCTACTTTTTGAAGTTGCAACCTAAACCATGTTTGATGAGTAGTTAGTAGGAAGTCTCTTTAATTCCTACATTCTGCTGCCTCTGCCCTTTTTGCTCTAACTTTTGGAATCTCCACACCATTTCTTGTTTCTATATACAAAAATAGTTATTTATAATTCAAACTTACTTTTGCTTCATAGAGCTTGGAAATAGGTTCAGCAAAATTGACTTAGACTTTATCTGTCATTTTCCTTCATATTTAATTTGTCCTACCTCAACTCTTCCATTTGGAGCTTACAATTAGCTTGTACATTTAAATGACCTATCTCAATATCTGTCTGTCTGTCTCTGTCTGTCTGTCTGTCTGTCTATATTTTAAAAAGTGCCCAATTCCCCAAATTTCATTTTCAACAACTGTATGGTATATATTACTGACTCTCTTGCACCTACTCAAGTCTATACAGCTTCACCTGCATGTGGGAAACCTGTCAACACTACAAGTATTATCAATGTAGTTCTGGCTAACATTTTGGTTTGGAGTCTGTTTTTTCCTATAAAGGCTCCAGGGTAGAAAGAGAATGATCAACGAGGGCACTTCCTACCCAACTGGGGGAAAAAATGAAGCCCAAGGAGTGCCTTTAAAAACTAATGCATGGTGTACAGGAAGAGGAAAATAATTGTTCTCTGATCAATGTCAAGAAACCTAGATTCGTGCTAACTCATATTACTCCATTAATTGGAAGAGTTAATTAATTATGAGAGTTAAAATTTTTGAGCTCCATTCAGTTGCATATGGGATGGTTTACTTCTGTGAAAATACAAAATGGCTAGAGTTCTTAACATTCTCTTTTTCCACAGCAGAAATACTCCAAGTGCTTACAGCTATGTGCTGCTCTCCTGAAGGGCTCTCCTGTTCACATAATGATGAATGGCTACATAATCAATTCAGGAAGTTTTGGAAAGCAGAAGCAGCTACATTGGAATGTCCTATGCAGTTGAGCAACATGGATTGCTTTTGCCATTAAAATAAATGAAAAGAGAATCAAGATCACGTGAAGTGTTAATACCACTTTATAATGCCTTGGTAAGGCCACACTTGGAATACTGCATTCAGTTTTGGTCACCATGATGTAGAAAAGATGTGGAGATTCTAGAAAGAGTGCAGAGAAGAGCAACAAAGATGATTAGGGGACTGGAGACTAAAACATATGCAGGAACTGGGTATGTCTAGTTTAATGAAAAGAAGGACTAGGGGAGACATGATAGCAGTGTTCCAATATGTCAGAGGTTGCCACAAAGAAGAGGGAGTCAAACTATTCTCCAAGGCACCTGAGGGTAGAACAAGAAGCAATGGGTGGAAACTAATCAAGGAGAGAAGCAACTTAGAACTGAGGAGAAATTTCCTGACAGTTAGAACAATTAATCAGTGGAACAGCTTGCCTCCAGAAGTTGTGAATGCCCCAACACTGGAAGTCTTTAAGAAGATGTTGGATAGCCATCTGTCTGAAAAGGTATAAGGTTTCCTGCCTAGGCAGGGGGTTGGTCTAAAAGACCTCCAAGGTCCCTTCCAACTCTGCTATTGTATTGTATTGTAAAAGCCATGATTTTTAGCCACCTCTTAAAAATGCAAAAATGAATCAGATTCTCCCCACACACAACCCAGAATAAATGTTAGACAGACTTTATTGCTGTTAGTAATCATGTTGCCATGGTTCTATGAGAATAGGAAACCCTATTCCAGTAAGGATTCATATACAAGTTCAGTTACACTACATCCTTCAAAATATTTGAAATAAAAGGACAGAGAATATTTGACCTTCATGTAGAGAAATGTTGATACTATGCATGCACTGATTTTCTTTTCCCTATTATTCTCCCAAATTTGAAAACGTTACTTAAAAGATAAATTAATAATACTCCTTATACTTGTGCCTAAACTACACCCCCCCCCCCACATTTTACCATAGTTCACTGTAACATAAATTTACATTACATTGTTGAGGTATTCTGTGACTATCTCTGACTAAAAGATTTAAGGAAAATGAGTATTTTTCATACACAAAACTACCACTGAACAGTGAAAGCTGTCAATCAGGCAAATCCATATGCAGAATAAATATTGAAATACGTTTTACCAGTATGGTAGAATATAAGACCTTAATATATATTATGATAAAAATATCAAATACAAAAATACAAATTTACAATCCAAGATTAACATATTTATTCAGGAATGTCTTATACATTTTAATTGCTTTAATTTTTAAAGTAGAATTGCTTATAATTTCAGCCCAGATGTCAATCACAAAAAAGAACTATAATAACTAATTATACAGAAAGTTTATGGTTAATTTTCTCATGCCCAAGTCCTTATAATTTAAAAAGGAACTGCCAATGTTTATGTTTTCTGAAACAAAATTCCAATTAAACCATTAAATCACATTAATGTGATTTCAATATATTGCTTAATACATTAACATTTATTAACTTAATATTGTTAAATACTAATATCAATGGTTGACCATACCAGTACTGAATATCTTAATTTTTATGGTCTAATCCACCTGACTCCACTTTTTACTAATAGTATCTACATGGATAATCAATGTAATTTCAAAGTGGGGTTGGGGGTAGTTTAACTATTAGAAGTGAATTAGTTTGTGTCATTAGCTCTAAACAAGAAATTTATAAAATTGCAAAAGAGTGGCTCAGCTGCTAAAGAAAAATATTACATATTTTATAGATAAGTATTGTGATAGATTATCTGCACAGTAAAAAATAATGGACTTCCGTTTGCTCTGCATCTTCCCAGCCCAATTCTTATTTCACTCCTTCCTCTGCCCTCTGGAATGAAGCTGACCTTGGATGAAAGAAAAAAAAAACTGAAAAGGGGCTGGACCTTTGTGGCACTCAGATGAGAGAGTACCAGGAAACCCAAGCTATAATATAGTCTACATAAGGAAGTCAAAAAAGCATCCTGAAAAAAAGACATTGGCAAACCCCTTCTGTACTGTTGCCAAGATCACAAGACAAATCTACTTATGTAATTTCTGCGAGCTGAGCATAAGATAGTCTTTGTTTTGGTAAAATCCCTCTGAGTTTGTGCTTCAGAAATTTGGTAACAACATACCAAATAGTTTCAGTTCAATTTTCCACTTTGGGAAAGGGAAAAATATCAATACGGTAGATATCTAAAAGAATATGGGTGGTGAAGGTGTGGTGGGGAGGGGGAGGCATTCAGGGCCTGCTTTTGTATCACTGGCACATTGGCTGAATTGACTGCAAAACAAAACCTCTAAAAAGCACAATCTTGTCTTCCTGCCATTTAATATTTGGTAAAATCAGCCTCCTTACCTGATGCCAGAGACACTTGCACTGCTGCTGTCAAAATTCCCAGTCAATGATGCAAATTCTGGGTATTGTAGTCCCAACACATCTAAAGAATGTCAGGTTGTGGAATTAGATGGACTCACGCAATGCTGTTTCACAGTAATTGGCAGCTCTTATTCTTTCTAGGAATTATGTTTGGCAAACGAATTCTGGTAGTGGGAGGTACTGAAGATTAAAATGGACAAATTATATTTTCTTCTTCTCTCTCTCCATCTTCATTTGTCCTTGCCTGGGTATCTGCCAGGATAGGAACACATTGCTCTTGGCAAAAGTCTGAGAAAAATATTTGCAGAAGTTTTTTTGTTTTGTTTAATTAAGCCTTTGGATGTTAAGAGCTGCAGGTGGGCTCCTCCTCACTACACATATATATTAGGCAAACAATGCTATGATTGTATTGGACTTCTGAAGTTGTTTATAGATGTTGGTACATTTCACCTTCAGAAAAATTAAGTGATGGGTTGGAAAGAAAGGAATTTGCAGGTGGATATCAACAAAAAAGGATCCTGAAACAGGTTAGAAAAACTTCAGGAAAGCCACTACTAGTGAGCAGGCAGAATTGGGAAGCAAAAAGAAGAGTCATTTATTGTCTTAGTGGCTTCTTTAATTTGCATGTTTAAACTTTCATTCAGTGTGCTGAAAAAATGAGAATAATTGACAATTATAAAAATTGATGAGTTGAAAATATTTTTTTTCTTATTGTAAAGCCTGGATCTGGAGCTGTTTAACAAATACCTAACTGTATACATCTATATGGACAGGGTCTTAATCTGAGCAGATATGCACAAAATGCTACTAAACAATTCATTTTATAATCGTTTCTCTGCTCTTGAAAGAAATATTGCTCTTATTTAAACATGATAAGCATGTAACTATTCAGCCAGCGATGGACTTGGTCTAACATGTTACCACTCAAAATAATGGGCAAAAAACCCAAATAGATTATTTTACAGCTACCTGAAGTTCTGTTGACAAAGTGAAAAATCTATTTCAAGTCTTTATCACTTTCATTTATGTCATTATTGTACGCATTACAGTATGGATACAGTATGTCCTCAACTTACAACAGTTCATTTATTGACTGTTCAAAGTTACAACAGCATTGAAAAAAGTGACTTGTGGCAATTTTTGACACTTACGACCATTGCAGTGTCCCCATGGTCATGTGATTTACATTCAGATGTTTTGACAACTGACTCACATTTAGGATACTTGCAAGTGTTCTGGGGTCATGTGATCACCTTTTGTGGCCTTCTGACAAATCATGTCAATGAGGAAACCAGTGTCACTTAACAACCATATTACCCATTTAAGAACTGCAACAATTCACTTAGCAAATGTGAGACAAGTTTAAAAAATGGAGCAAAACTCACTTAACAAATTTCCCACTTAGCAACATAAATTTTGGACTCAATTATGGTCCTACATTGTGGAGTACCTGTATACAGATGGGAACTATTTCCAAAAATATCATTCACAAAGCAACAAAGGAAATTTCATAAGGAAAACACTGCATTTGTTGTTAATGCATTTAAAAAATAAAATAAAATAAATAAATGTGTGTGAAAAAGCCCACAAGATAGCAATAGCAATAGCAGTAGACATATACCGCTTCATAGGCCTTTTCAGGCTTCTCTAAGCGGTTTACAGAGAGTCAGCATATTGCCCCCAACAATCTGGGTCCTCATTTTACCCACCTCGGAAGGATGGAAGGCTGA